TGACTCAATGGGTATGGTAAACCTGTTGACGACTGTTAACGACTGCAAAAAACCCCCACCTCACTCTCCCACTATATATAAGGGTCTGGTTGCTTCTGTTTCAGTGTATTTGAAGAAGTGTGCATGCACACGAAAGCTCATACCAAGAACAAACTTAGTTGGTCTCTAAGGTGCTACTGGACAATTTTTTTTATTTTTTTATATATTTTGACTGCATCAGACCAAAAAGGCTACCTACCTGAATCTAGAACCCTTTAAAATAACTATGCATCTCCTTTCATCAAAATTGATTACAAGGTGGTTTACCAATACATTTTTTTAAAAAAACACACAAATAAAAGATGAGTGGCACTTAAGACTATGTAAAAGGTACTTTTTAAAAGCCAATAAATGAAAAGATTTTACCAGGTGCCTAAAAGAAAGCAAGGTTGGTGTCTACTGAGTGTCCCCAGAAGGCCTGCTTCTGACAGCATCTCAAGTCAAACCTTGACAGCTGCTTTGCTTCTTCCTGGTCCCTTTTTCTGCTGTGACATGCTGAGGTAGGCCAAGGTTTGGCTTAGTGTCTCATCCAAAATGGATCTTGTGGTTCAGCTCTGTCCTCATAATAATAATAATAAATTTTATTTATATCCCGCCCTCCCCAGCCGAAGCCGGGCTCAGGGCGGCTAACAACAATAAAACAGTACAAAAGTACAGCATAAACAACACTCTAAAATCATTCATTATAAAATTAATTAATTAAGCCACTGGCAACCATTGGGCCAGAGCTCCGCGAAGATTGCCGAGGGAGGGAGTCAGGCTGTGCCCTGGCCAAAGGCCTGGTGGAACAGCTCTGTCTTGCAGGCCCTGCGGAAAGATGTCAAGTCCCGCAGGGCCCTGGTCTCTTGTGACAGAGTGTTCCACCAGATCGGAGCCACAGCCGAAAAAGCCCTGGCTCTAGTTGAGGCCAGCCTAACTTCTCTGTGGCCTGGGACCTTCAAGATGTTTTTATTTGAAGACCGTAAGTTTCTCTGTGGGGCATACCAGGAGAGGCGGTCCCGTAGGTATGAGGGTCCTAGGCCGTATAGGGCTTTAAAGGTTAAAACCAGCACCTTAAACCTGATCCTGTACTCCACCGGGAGCCAGTGCAGCTGGTATAGCACCGGGTGAATGTGATCTCGCAGCGAAGACCTCGTAAGGAGTCTCGCTGCAGCATTCTGCACCCGCTGGAGTTTCTGGGTCAGTCTCAAGGGCAGCCCCACGTAGAGCGAGTTACAATAATCCAGTCTGGAGGTGACCATCGCATGGATCACAGTGGCTAGGTCAGGGCGAGAGAGGTAAGGAGCCAACTGCTTAGCTTGGCGGAGATGGAAAAATGCCGCCTTTGTTATAGCTGCAATCTGCGCCTCCATGGAAAGGGAGGTGTCGAAGATTACACCCAAACTCTTAACGGACGGTGCTAGCACTAATTGCGCCCCCGCAAGAGATGGGAGTTGCCCCCCCAATCCCATATCGCCCCGTCCCAGCCACAGGACCTCTGTCTTCGAAGGATTTAGTTTCAACCGGCTCCCACGTAACCATCCAGCCACAGCTTCCAAACATCTGGTCAGTGTGTCTGGGGCCGAGTCAGGATGGCCATCCATCAACAGATAGAGTTGGGTGTCATCGGCATACTGATGGCAACCCAGCCCAAAACTCCGAACAAGCTGGGCGAGGGGGCGCATAAAGATGTTGAAAAGCATCGGGGAGAGCATCGCACCCTGAGGTACGCCACACACCAAGGATGACAATTCCCCCCCAAGCGCCACCCTCTGTCCCCGACCAGAGAGAAACAAGCGCAGCCATTGAAGGACTGTGCCCTGGATCCCCACGTCGGCAAGGCGGTGGTCCAGAAGTTCGTGATCGACCATGTTGAAAGCTGCTGACAGATCTAGAAGAATCAGCAGCCCCGACCCACCTCGATCCAGCTGTCTACGAAGATCATCTGTTAGGGCAACCAGAGCCGTCTCGGTCCCATGACCAGCGCGGAAGCCGGACTGGAATGGATCCAGAGCCGATGTTTCATCCAGAAAACCACCAAGCTGTTCAGCAACCGCTCTCTCAATCACCTTACCCAGGAACGGAAGATTCGAAACCGGGCGGTAATTGGATAGATCTAAAGGATCTAATGATGTTTTCTTTAAGAGCGGGCGCACCACTGCCTCCTTCAGTTCCCTGGGAATGTCCCGTGCCAAGGGACAAATTGATGATATCCCCCAGGAGGGCCCGCACCTCATCTGGACACGCTCTAATCAGCCAAGACGGGCACGGGTCGAGAGGACAGGTGGTGGGCTTTCCAGCTCGGAGGAGTCTGTCCACATCGGCTGGGGGATATCCGGTCAAAGTGGTCCAATACTGGACTCGAGGACAGTCGAGGGGCCTCCAGTTCCTTTATTGTATCCAAATTAGCCGGGAGGTCATGGTGGAGCAACAAGACCTTCTCCGCAAAAAAGCTCGCAAATGCCTCACAGCTGTGTGTCAAATTGTTATTTAAGTTTGGCTGTCCCTCAAGGGACGTTAAAGACCTGATTATACTAAATAATTGCGCCAGGCGAGAGCTAGCGGATGCAATGGAGGCCGAGAAGTATGACTTCTTAGCAGCCTTCACCGCCATCTCGTAGGTTTTCATAAAAGCCCTATAAGATGTTCTTGAGGCTCCGTCACGGGCACCCCGCCATACTCGCTCTAGCTGTTTGAGGTCCCGCTTCATTTTCCGGAGCTCCTCGGTAAACCAGGGAGCCCGGTTTCTGCGGGATCGCAGAGGGCGCTTAGGTGCGATCTCATCGATGGCTGCCAGGAGCTGGGTATTCCAGCCCTCAACAAGCTCAGTCAGTGAGTCGCCAGGGGGAGCAAGGTCCTGCAAGGCTTGGCGGAATCTATCAGGGTCCATCAGCCTCTGCGGGTGAGCCCAAATCGGCTCGCCACCTAAGCAGGGTGGGGGTGGAAAGTCAATCCTGGCTTTCAGAGCGTAGTGATCAGACCATGGCACCTTCATCGAAGGAGACATGATCACATCTATACCTACGCCAAAGATCAAATCCAGCGTGTGGCCTGCTTGATGTGTGGGGCCCGAAACAAACTGGGAGAGCCCTAGTGTCGCCATGGAAGACACCAGGTCCAGAGCCTGTGAGGAGGGAGTGGCATCAGCATGGATGTTAAAGTCCCCCAATACCAATCGGTTAGGGAACTCCAAGGCCCAGCCGGCCACCGCCTCCAATAGGCCTGACAGGGTGGCTGCTGGTGCGCTACGTGGCCGGTACACCAGCCAGACAGCCAAGCTCTCCTCGGAGCCCCACACTAGGCCAACACATTCAATGCCGGGGATCGATGGCGATGGTAGAGCCCTGAAAGGACAATCTTCCCGGATTAATAATGCCACCCCTCCCCCCCGGCCCACAGTCCACGACTGGTGGAGGACGGAGAAACCCGGGGGCGCCATCTCTCGTAAGGTAACTGTTGCCCCTTCGCGCACCCAGGTCTCCGTCACACAAGCCAGGTCGACCCCCTGCGAGATAAAGAAATCTCGCAGGGTGGCAGTTTTATTGCCTATAGACCTGGCATTGCACAGCACCAGTGACGGAGGTGAGTAATCCTTGCTCACCCTACCCTCGTCCCTCGGGATGGGGCACAGATTGGAAGGGGTACGAGCGTATCCATATCTTGATCCCCTTCGAGCTATATATGAGCTATAAACAAGGTTTGTTCTCCCCTGTAACTAAGGAGGAGTAAAGTGGATGCGTACTAATGTAGTCTTGTTAAGCCAAGGGCGTCAGCAGGAGAATGGGGAGGCTGATATGGGAAAAGATGCTCCTTCAACCTTTGTCACTGTCTCCATCACCGAGACAAAGGCAAGACGCAATATAAATTTTGGCACAAACTGCTGTAGTGCATGGTTTTGTAAGTTAAAATGATAAAAACAGATTCCTCTTATTCAGGGGTCAGCAACCTAAGGCCCAAGGGCTGGAAGCGGCCTGCCGAGGTCGTTTGACCGGCCCATGAGCCCCCCCTGAACCGAGCTGCTTGCTCGTACGCTGCGCTAAACCAGCGCAGTGCAGGGACTCACTTCCGCAGTGCCGAAAATCACAGCCACATGTGCTTGTGCACATGCGCGATCCGGCGCACGGAGGGATCTCCGCGGGATCGATCTGGCCCAGGAAAGATAAACCTTGCTGACCCCTGTTCTTATTACTCTTTGTTCCTGGCTATGTTCAAGTTGTAGTCCATATGTCACTTTCTTTCTGAAGTCATATTGAAGTAAGTTGTTAGAATGGTAGTCAACCCAGCTAAATTATTAAGCTCCCTAATACTCCACTGAATATATTTTCAGTGGGCATTCTTATTTGGTCTAATTAGTTATCTGCAAACAGAAGGTTATGGGAAAGGGAGTACTTTTAACTCATCTATAGGTATTCAAACATCGTGTTGTGTCTTATCTTTTTAAAACTTCAAGTCCTCCCCAAAAGAGACGTAAAAAGAGTTTAGTTTGCATACTACAAACTTGCAAATGGCTCAAACAGGCCCAATTAACATTTTTCTCTAGCACTTTTGAAACATAGGCCTCATTAAAATCAGTTGCATAAGCATTGTTCCCTGTAGGAAATGGACTATAAAGGTGAAATGAAATTTAATTATTGCCAAATAAGTACAAGTAAAGTTTCATTATCTGAATTAACAAGGGGGGGGGCAGCAGTTCATATTGTTAAACCCACTTACATTACAATAATATATTTAAGCACTCCCCATTTCCTTAAACAGTGAGAAGTTTGAGGGGCAATGCTGGAACAGAACTTTGTTTCCTTAGGATGAGGGATCGTTGGGGACTTTGTGGCCTTATTCAGGCCATCCTATATTAGCTGAATCATGTCTCAGTCCAGATGTGTACAGTTTTTTTGCAGTCGTTCTTTCATTTCTCCTTTTGCAGCACAAAGTTAGGAAGTCAATAATTAACCATGATGCCATGTTTCATCCAAACCAGGAGAGCTATGGTTATCAGTTTTGGAACAAGTCAGGATATTAAATCAACTTCAAAAAATGGTATAATACCCTGTTTTGTTCCAAAACTGATAACCATAGCTCTCTGGTTCTGATGATTAATGAGAGCTTCCAGGTTTGATTGAAGGAGCTACGTTCATGGACAAAAGTCTCATTTCTATATCAATTTATTAAGCCAAAATATGTTAATCCAAACTGGAACATATTGTAAAAAGGTATCATTTGCCAATACACAAGCAGAACATACTGTAAGCAAATGGTCTCTCCTTCAGTAAGCAGCAGATATCAGGCTCCTCAAACCCTCAGAGGAACCCCCAGTTTCAGCTAATCAGCTAATCACTTCTTTTTCTAGCTCTCTGTCTCCTTTCTTCCAACTTCAGGCTTCAAGCTCTTTTCCTTAATCAGAAACACACACACACTACGGAATACACGGACCCACCCACTGGCACCAGTTTTGAGAGGATTTTAATCATGCTCTCCCAGTCCTGGTTGCTCCTACACACACACACACACAGAGAGAGAGAGAGAGAGAGAGAGAGAGAGAGAGAGAGAGAGAGATTGGTTTAAAAACCCAGCTATGTTAAATGCAATAACATGTATAACATGATACGTAGTTTGGCACTAAGTATTTCCAAGTAGAGGGGCAAAGTGCAGGTTGGTAAATAGGTCAGGTTAAGTACTTCTACAGTACTTGCAAATATGACTTAGCATAAACCGCATCCTTTAATCTAGGCATGTACTGGAGATCTTTGCATTTAATTTATTATATGCAGATTTCATGAAAGAAACAAGGACATTTGCAATTTATTTGGTTTTGGTGTAGCTGAGTTTTAGATTAACTGCTTCCAAACTTCTAACAAGATTAACAGGATTACTTGCTGCCAGCCAGGCATTGCAGATATACCAGCATCCTTCCCTGTCATTATAACGTTGATCAGCCATTTTTAAGATTAGAAATTGTCTGCATTAAGCTGATCGTGAGCAAGAAAACTTGTTTTATTTCCTTGCTTCATTTAACGTGTACTCCAGTTAAAAATAGACTATATCGAGTTTGTTGAGGGGAAATAACTGAAAAGAGATCTTGTCTGCATGTAAACTCCTAGATATATGTAGATAGGAAAGGAATGAATAGCTTTAATAAAAAAATATCATTGGGGTAGAAGTATATTACATAGTATTACTGGCCTTCTGAATGTTGAGGGATGGAGGAATTTAATATGGCGGACGATGCATTTACATTTCAGGTGAAAATCTTGCAGTGTTCCCCATGAAGGCTGTTAAGCTTTTCATGGAAATGAGGGGCTCCTGCACAAAGACATGTAATTTACTGGTAGGCAAAAACTATAATCAGAAAATCCAATTAAATACATCAGGTGTTTTATTGGCACTTTGAGATGCTGGTAGGCTTGTGCAGAAAGATGGGTTTTTAAAATTCCACACATTTTAAATGGCTAGGGCTGATGATAATAAAATATCATTGTTTAACTTAACGGGGGCATCTCAAAGGTGGCATCATCATCCCCACCTCTATTCTGTGAGTTGCAGCATGTGGAAAATAAGAACTTCTGCTCCAGATGTTTTTCAGTGTAAAAACATGTACTTGAATTATGCAGCCATGCCTCTCTTGGCTGCTCCCCCCCCCCCATCCTAACTTCCACCCTAGCAGGGAGTGGCTGCGGACAGTCTAGTGGCGATGCTGAAAGAAGTACCGAGTTTGCTACTGGATTCTCTGGTACAGCCACCACAGGGCAGTGCCCGTGACATGCATCTGGGGAAATTACAAACAGTAGCTGTCCCAGCCAGTGGCATAGCAAGGTCAGGGGGTACCTGGTGCGAAAAATTTCTGGTCAAACCCCCCCCCCTTGATTTTTTTTTTAAATTTTTTGCCTGCAAAAATGGTTTGACTTTATTTCATGTTTTTTTGCAGAGCCAGAGTAGTTGAGCTTTTTCGGGGGAGCCACAGTTGTTTTTTGTAGAGATTGTGTGCCTTGCAACAAGGAGTCTGCCTGCCACCCTACAGCTGAGGGGGAGCCGGTGGGTGTGCCGTTAACATATGAGAGTGCTGGAGGTGAAATAGTTAAACAGGTTACCCAATCAGAACCCGGGGGGGTGTAGTCAGAGGGACTATAAAACCAGCTCTGGGAGGAGCGGAGGGAAGAGTTCGTTGGGAGGTTGGTTGGAATGGGAGTGAATTGGGATAGAGTCTGTGAGTAGGTTGAGTTAGTGTAGCGAAATAAGCTGAGTCAGGAACAGTTAGGAGCTAGGAAGACAAGTAAATATCTGAGAGGTGGTTTAGTGAGTGAGAGCAGGAAGCGGAAGTTATAGGTCTGGAAAGGCACCCCATGATTGTAATTGACAGATACCGTTTATGAAACCACGCACTTGTTAAACTGCAATAAATAAACAGAAGTTTATGTTGCAATTTAACCCTGACTGGACTCAGTATTTTACCAGGTAGGGCCTGTGTGGTGGCAGCAAGAAATAAAGTGGTGGCACAGGGATCAATAGACTGTGAAACGTCCGGAGACCCTGTGTGATCGCCACAGCGGGCGGACCATTTTGGCAGTGGGAAGCCTGCGTGCGCCAATGCCACAGCATCTCTCACAGACATTGAGTGCCGCACAGCATTTTGTCACCCCCCTCGGAGGTGACACCTGAGGCAGACCACACCCACCTTGCTCCACCTCTGGTCCCAGCAAGATTTGCTGCTTGGCATTCCTGTCTACGGAAAATGATTTACCTGAGTATATTGTGCGCTGGCAGCGGATCTGATAAAGATAGAGGCAGATCCAGACAATCTGTGGACACACTATCACATGGTGTTACTGGTTTTCTTTTATGTGATTGTTTTTATTTTCACTTTTTATATAAAGGAAAAGCAATAACAACAACAATAAAGAGAAAGAATATCAAAGCAAAAAAAAGAGAGGAATGTCTAGTGCATGAGTAGGCAAACTAAGGCCCAGGGGCTGGATCCGGCCCAATCTCCTTCTAAATCCGGTCCGCGTACGGTCCAGGAATCAGTGTGCAGGTCAGTGTGCAGTGTCCAGGAATCAGCATGAGTAGAATGTGTCCTTTTATTTAAAATGCATCTTTGCGTTATTTGTGGGGCATAGCAATTTGTTCATTTTTATTTTTTCCCCAAAATATAGTCCAGCCCCCCACATGGTCTGAGGGGCAGTGGACCAGCCCCCTGCTGAAAAAGTTTGCTGCCCCTGATCTAGTGCATACATAATTCATTTCCAAGCAACTAGGCACTTGCTGTTGCTATCCACTCTTTTCAAAAATAAAATTTGGGTAAGGATGTGTTAGCAGTGTACATTGTAGTCTTGGAAGGGGAAGTTCACAGGAAAGACTAGCTGACTAGCAGAGAACCCATTACAAACTAGATTTGGCTTCGGAGGGCATTTTGGACTCAAGTCCAAAACAACAGATACACCTTTCTGGGTGCTTCCACATGGCAGTTCATTGTGCACTCAGTGCTGCTCATGCAGGCCATTGTTTTGCTTGTTTGCAGCATCTATATGGCATCGTCCCCATCAAAATGCTTTCTCGTGTTGTTTTCTCATTTAATCCATACTTACTCTTTCCCCACCAGGTTGCTGTTGTTGTTACTGATAAGATTTTCCACAGAAATGGTGCATCTGGATTAAATGGGAAGATAACATGGGGCAGCGTTTTATAAGGATGACAACATCATCACGCAAAACTTGTGTGCCTGAGCAGCGCTAAGTCACAGTAACTGCCATATGGAAAACACCCTCAGTCTCAAAGCAGTCTGTTCAGTCAGAAAAAGGGGAATATATCACTTAGAGTCCTATGTGAGAGTTAGGATTTGTCTGCTCTGACACCTTACCCACTGTGTGTTGCTCTTCCTCTTCTAACCTTTTTCTATTTGTGGTTGTTGCCGTTAAACAAAAACTGGCTAGTCTAGCAATTTAAATTAATTTGTGAGCACGGCAGCTCTTTATATTATTTATAGTGGTATGTACTTAAAGATCTGCTTTCAGGGCCAGCAGACATAAAATCTGACATTCCAGCTGTATTTTAACCCAAAGGCACAAATTATGCTGTCTCTCTGCTCTGCTATTTTTTTTTCCCCATTGGTGATGAAAAACCCTGATTTCTTCAAAGTTCTGTATGTTTAAATTTTCCATTCGCTTTCAGAAAGAAAGCACATCAGGTCTTTGCTGTGGAGCTGCACAAGTCAGACTAATTTTATTCCATCATGGACAATAACAGAATAATCTCTTAGCTATTGAACTAACACCTGGATTTTTCCTCCCTTTAGCACACTCTTCCTAGTTGAGTCATCCTATTGTATGGATAGGAGTGTAATGACCTTGGTGCTTGCATTTAATATATTGCCAAATTGATACATATATGTTCTTCAGAAACTCAAGAGGGGATGAGCATAATGATATAAGATACTTTGCACATCATCACCCACCCCCACCACCACATGCCGGGTGTTGATTTTTTAAATATACATTATCAGGTATGGACTGAAAGACTCGGGATCATCTCCAGATGTTCTGCTTCAACCCACTGGGAAATTTGATCCAAGAGTTGATGCCCAGAAGGCATCATCCTTCAGGAGACTGTACTACCAAAACGGAAGCAACCTTTTGGTGCAAATACAAGGCTGTTGCCCAGAAACTCTTGTTTAACTACTCAGCAGAGTCATTTTACTACGAAGAGATGACTTGGCTATTTTGTCCTGAAAGTTGCACTGTTTATCGGCTTGGCTTGCCCCTCAACATTGAAGCACTATAGACACACAAACCTCCATTAAGGGAGATATTATAGGACTTCCCTCAGAGCTGGTCAGAACTAGACTCTGAAGCCACCATTGCATGTCCCCAGTGCCACCCAAAGCTCCATGAAGGACAGGGACCAGCAGAAGGTAGAGCTCTAACCATTTAGCTTCTCTACAACTGTTCATCAAAGGGTGTAATCTCCACCTTGAATCTCCTCCCCAACCTTCTGAACCATGGGTAGGCAAACTAAGGCCTGGGGGCTGGATTCGGCCCAATCACCTTCTCAGTCCGGCCCCCGGACTATCCAGGAATCAGTGTG